ATAAATTTTTGATCAAATCTGCTGGATTGTTAAATTTAAATTTTATTAGGTTTATAGTATATCTTTCAAAGTGGTCTCCAATTATCTGCATTCAGGCCGGTTTTTTTCCATGAAACTCTTTGACGGTCGCAGCCAGTGTCCATTCCATGGATTTTACAGCATTTTTAAAAATTATAATACAATTTTTTTTTTTAAGAAATATGATTAAGTTATCAATTTTTATCAATTTTTTCATGATAGTATTTATTCAATTATTTTTATGTAGATATAAATATGACTGCAAAAAACATAATTTTTTTTTACAATTTGCAGGAATATCGATTATCTGGAAATATAATAAAAAACTTATGGGATGGCATTGTCATTTAATATTAGATAGATTTGAGAAACATAAGGTCTTAGAATGGACCTCGGACCAGGGTGGATGTAGTAAATAATAAAATTAATTCAAATAGATCGGTGTATGGATCAGTTATAAACAGCAGATAGGAAATAAAAACAATGATTCCAAAATAGATATGTTTTAATGATTCCAAATAACCATTACAAAACCCGAATTATGTTTGTAAATATTTAGATAGAACCATCATATGAATGAATATATCTGCCAAACTCGTTTTCCGAAATATTAATTTATTAAATACAAAAGTTTAAGATCAATGGTTTAAAAATGAAATAAATTATTAAGTAAAATTCAAAGTTGTTCTGAGAGACCCAAATTCCTCAAACCTTACCGACTAACCTTACAGAATTGCAAACAAAGAACTATACCAGATAACAGAAACCACATCGATTGAGGACTACCAACAGCGGCAACAAACGGATATCAGATTAAACTGGAAGAAAAAAACAATGAAATAATCAAGGTAATGATATTGGTCACTACTTTAAACAAAAGGTTAGGAAGGAAACGCCTATCAATATTAGAAAGAGCGATAACAGCTGGTGGACTTGATAAAACTATTTTTCTAAAATTAGTTTTAATAGAAATATTTTTATAAATTTCAACCGTGGATTAGGATTTCAGGACATGACAGTCTAGCAGCGAAAAAAAAAAAGACTTGAAAATGAAATCGTGACGTGTTTACATTTAAGGCACCTTGTTAGATTAGGATAGAAAATTAGAAGGTTAGAGAATAAATATTCATCTTGAATAAGTTAACTTATATGATCCTGGATATATATATATATAATATATATATGAACTTTATTTCAACCCTTTAAAAGATGGAGATTACAATACATATTGCATGATGATTAATTAGTGATGAACATATCATTTTCGTTATTCATAATTTCATACGATTCTTCTGATAGCTTGGGAGTGATTATACATTCTTATTGCTCAAATAGTATCCAATATTATATATAAATATAATTTCAAAAGATATCTTTAATCATTTCTAATATTCAATGGTTCATAAACTTAATATATATAAAAAATTATACAATTTTATCCTTGTTATATAATATATTTATTACCAAACTTTAGATCTGTTACTACCAAAGCATATTTCATAGATATAAACCTTAGTGATCAGAACCACTTTAAATGTTATGCTAAATTTGAATCTACATGCAGTACATGTAAAATGAGAATCGCTATATTCCTGATATATATATATATATATATATAAATTTAAATATTGTCAATACAAAAGTAGAGTTTCAGATTCATTTTAGGACATACACATCAAAAACATATCCTAAAATATAGATGTATGTATATATATATATATATGTGTATGTATATGTGTGTGTATATACTGAGTCCAATAACTTAAAAGAAGTATGTGTATGTACGTATGTGTGTGTGTGTGTATGCATTCCTTTTCAATAGGATATGTGTGTTTAAGGTATCCAACAAAATGTGTGTGTGTGTGTGTATACAGATAAGTTCACTGATTTCTCGTAATGAGACAATGTGTATGTATGGAGAGGGATATACACATATATACACGCATGCTGAAAAAACACACGAAAATGGAAAGAGATCTAAGAACACACAGGGGTCATTAAAAGATAAGAATGCCGATAACTACTCCATTTCTCCTGACCAATCTTAATTGTTTTATAACCCTTCACGCAGAACTCTTCACTGCCAGTTCAAAAAAGACATTTTGGCCACTAACACAGAAAAAGAGGATGTCGCATATCGAGAATATTTAACATCGAAAAACAAAGGAAAGAAATTAATTATTTTTAATAATATGTAGAAATCTCCATCCTTTGCTTGATGACGGTCGCGAGGCCAGAAACCCGTGTAGCAAAATTATGGAAAATAAAGCATATTCTTTTTTAAATCCACATTGCAACCAAAAACGTTTGCAGTTTTTCTCTTTTTAATATACCCACTTTTCTCTCGTTGGAACTATTATAAACTCTTGATATATATATATATATATATATATATATATATATATATATATATATATATATATATAACTTTAGTCAACAATAATTTTCCCAACTACATCACCGATAAACAAATAAAATTATTCTCACAAAAATGCACAACAACAGTAATAAACATACCACACAACAAAACAACATATTTTTTACTGCAGCCAGATGCACAATAATTACAAGCAGGATGAATTCACTATACAAAGAATCATTATAAGATTTCGATCATAATTCCTGAACACCACGTAAAACTTATAATATATTAAAGAAAATGGAGAACTGCAAACCTTGTTGTCACTAATCAAAATAACGCCATCAAATTGAACTAAATGACCAATATAGTGTATCAGTTTCATTTCCAGTGTTTCTTGTCATAAATCAATTACCTACATCGGACATACTACAACATGCTTGAGCAGACGCCTCACGTGTCACTTATCTGATCAAAGTTCTATAAAAAACATCTAGCTACCCACAATTTACAAGAACCCTTAAGAAAAAATCTGGGCGAGAGACACTAAAGTTCTATATGAATCACATTACCGCAAATATCTCGCTGGTAGAGCGGATTTTTATATAAAACATCTCGCTTCCACTCTCAATCTCACATGATTTAACAGTGGGAATGACGCGTTGGAAGTTTTTTTTAATTTTTTTTAATTTTTTTTTTTTAAATAGAAAGACGCTCACACGAGTTTAATAGGCGAAGCTCTGGATGAACGACCCTACTTTTACTCACAAAAAAACATCTTAAACAGTCAAAAGGCACAGAAATTAATAACACCTGGAAAGACATTTGAAAATACTTAAAGGGTCAGAAAGTTTTTTGGGAAAATAAACAATACGGACAATATTTGTACTCCATAACGCAGGATTTCTGGGAAAAAAAAAAAAAAACTAAATAAAAAATAAATTATATTTAATATTTTATTATATATATATATATATATATATATATATATAATATATATAATATATATATATAATATATATAATATATATAAATATATATATATATATATATATATATAATATATATATATATATATATATATATATATATATATATATATAATATATATATATATATATATATAATATATATATATATATAATATATATATAATATATATATATATAATATATATATAATATATATATAATATATATATAATATATATATATATATATATATATATATATATATATATATATATATATATATAATATATATATATATATATATATAATATATATATATAATATATATATATATATATATATAATATATATATATAATATATATATATAATATATATATATATATATATATATATATATAAATATATATATATATATATATATATATATATATATATATATATATATATATATATATATATTATTATATATTATTATATATATATATGTGTGTATATTTTTTTTATATTCATATGTAATGGAAATGGCTAGAAAACCCTTTTTTGATTATTAAACTCCGGTTCGAATCCCACCATGGTTGAACTTGCTGGCCTTGTACAGATTGTTGATCACGCTCTCTGCGAGAAACTTCAACTAAGGTCCGCTTAGCATAGTGGGTCTTGGTAAAACACTAATGTCTGCAACAGGGATTGGTTAGCCGCCGTAGTAGACGGGCATCCTCGAATACATTGGCCAGCTTTTTATCTATATTAAATACTGTTATTGTTGGTCGGAATATCATCCTCATTTTTGCCATATTCATCACAACGTTTCGGCCGTTGTAAAAAAAAAAGATAGTTGGAATGTCTAACATCTAACACTGTGCTATGTGTCCCTCAAGGACACATCACAGTGACATCTATTAGACATGGCACATGAAATGTTCACAGTTTACCCCAGCGAGCGAAATAAAGGGTTCAGTTCGACATTCCAAACACCTGAAGAAGCCCGGAGCGTACAACGACCCACACTGTGATAAATATGGCAATTAATATGAGGATGATAATCCGAACAATGTAAATAGTGTACGTAAGTTACTACTACAAAATTGTACATTTTGTTTCGACGTCTAATAAACAACGTGTCATCAGATAGTTAACGATGATGATAATAAATGATTTTATGTATATACACACATATACATGTATAAAATGTTCGGTATCCAGCTATAACCACGAGAGATCTGATGTGAACATTCCAATGCATGAAATATAATACATGATATGGAGGAAAGTGCTGGAAATTGCAGTCATTCAATCTTCAGCGAGAGCCACGAAATATCTGTTGTGATCTTGCCTATGCATGAAAAATAATAAATGATACTGAGGAAGGTGCTTGTGATTTGAGATTTACTGTCACCCGGCCTTCAGCGATAATTACCAGATATTTTATGTAGACCTACAAATGCAAATAATAATAATAATAATAATAATAATAATAATCCTTGCAATAAAGAAAAAACTGATCATGAAGAAAAAGTGATTGCCGTAAACCACCTTGGATTTTTATCCAGCTCCTTGTCGAAAACGCTATATTCTTGTTATTCTTTTTCTTCTGTGCTCTTCTTGCTTTTATGCCAATGATAATATGATTGCTGTCAGCGCCATCTCTTCATGATAGATTTCCCGCCACTCCCTTGTTCGACCCTTTTCTTCCAACTATCTGAAACATCCTGTCTACACTCCCGGAGCCATCGCGAGCACCCATCTTAGCGTACCTCTTCTCCGACCCATTTCCCTCATCTCACGCCCTCCATCTATACCCGAATAACTCACCGACCCCAGTTTTCTTTTTGTTTCCCGCCCTACGTCACCCACCCTCTTGCGAGACGAAAACCCCACTTCCTCCCTTGCTTGCCACCTCTTTCAAAGTCGTCGCTCTCATCTGTCCAGCATGTTTCACGCTTCGCTGGTCACGGTAAATAGTGCAGGTGTCGCCTTCGTCGACGTTAAAAATATCGCTGGTTAGTGGGTGGAGGCTGTTAACGTCATTGGCGTCACCATCGTTGATACTGACGTCTTTTTTTTCTTCTTTTTTCGACGTTGACATTACTCTGTCTTTTAAGCGTCGCCCGGCGTTGTCCGGCTTTGTTTATTTTACGCCGATGTTGCTATATAAGAAACCAGGAATGGACGCGTTTGGTGGTGAAAATAGTTGTGTTTGCTTCGCAGCGAGGCTAACGGATGGTGTTCGAACCTAGGTGTAAACACAAGATTTCGGATAAAAATAATGGAAGCGTTAACAAAAAAAAAAAAAAAAAATGAAAAGAAAAGAAAAAGAAAAAAAAAGAAGAAACCAACTCACATTGATATCAATTATGAACACGGCCATAATGTGTTGACAGTGTTCGGAAATTAAAACATTCCTATAGTTATATAGAAATTAACTACCTATTCAGGCAAAGGAAAACATTCTAGATAATGGCTAACAGATTAGCCGAAAGCGCTCGGAACCACAGATAATTTGGACAGTTCTTACACATTATGTTCCAGAAAAAAATCGCTTGTATGAATGCAAGAAAAGTATAATAAAAAGTTTAATCGCAGTGCCTTGTCTATCATCTTCAATGAAACATATACATACATAGACACATATATATATTTAACATCGAAAAACATACGGAAAATTAATTCATTTTAATAATATGTGGAAATATCCAATCTTTGCCTGAAGAAGGTCTTGAGACCCGAAACATATATTGCAAAATTATGAAAAAAAAATATATAATATATATATATATATATATATATATATATATATATATATATATTTAAAATTAAAACAAAAACAAAACTTTTTACAATTTATCTCTTTTTAAAATATTCAGTTTTTTCTCTCGTTGGAACAACTATAACCTTTCCACATTATATATATATATATATATATATATATATATATATATACACACACATACACACGCACACACCTGGTGTGACAGCAAAATTATCGAAATTATGTAACAGTATAATTGTCTATCTCACAAAAATGTTTAATATCTAAAAAACACGAAACTGAGTTTCTCTTTTCCAGGTTTTCAGATAAGACGTTTTGACATCATTTGTCGTAAGAATCACTGAAAAAAACTCTGAGTTATTCAGCTAAAAAGAGAATATATTAAAACCTTTTGTGTTAGACTCACTGTCTTCCCATCTGAGCAATGGTGAAAGAAGAAAGATCTTTCAGGCCTTCTGTAATGGTACCAACAATCATATTCTGGCTTCCATCTTCAAAGTCCATTCAAGAACCATTAAGAGAATGGTGAAAAAGTTTTTAAAAAAGGGAACAGTAGAGACGAAAACTGGATCAGGAGGTCACAACAGGAAGAGGGATCATCGTTTCAGCTAAAAAGAACAATTAGAACAGATCGAACTCAATCCATAAGACGTTTTGCACGTGATAGAGAAGTTTCAGTTATGACAGTCCAAAGAGCAGTGAAAAAAAGACTTGAAAATGAAATCGTACGTGAAACATGTGAGGCACCTTATTACTCCATGACAGAAAATTAGAAGGTTAGAGAGGACGAAGATCATGTTCAATAAGTTGGAAAATGATCCTGAAATTATATATATATATATATATATATATATAAGAAATGGACAAATCCTTCCAATTTATTTATTAAAGACATTTTTTATGTTTAACTTCTTTTATATGACAAGCATTTATAAGGCTATTTTTTTATTATAAACAGTATTAAATAACATTTGCCGTTTATTATAAACAGAGCATTTATAAATAACAATCTATAAAAAAGAACGTTAAACATAAAATGTCTTTTATTATATATATATATATATATATATATATATATATATTATTTCAGGATCATTTTTGTTTATATATATATATATTTGAACTTTATTTCAATCCTTCATGAGCTTCTAATCCATTCTATGATTAATGATGAACATGTCATTTTCGTTTATGATCAATTTCCTCACGGTTCTTCAATTAAGCTTGGAGAGTAATTATATATTCTTATTGCTCAGAGTCGAGTACAAAATTGTTATAAAAAACACTGAAAATTCTAGTAATATATCTTCAATAATTTCTAAGATACGACAGTTCAGAGATTAATCCAACAAATGGCCAATTTTGCTTTTACATGATATGGACAATTTTGCTGTTACATCCCGAACATTATCTTTCCCTCCCCAAGCAAAAAAGTAAAGTCGCTCACACACAATGGTTTACTAAGTGTGAAAGAATAAGAAAAAAAGTGGGAGTAATAAAGGAAGAGGATGAGTGTAAATAATGGTTGATAGTTCGTTTAAAGTTTTGAAAATCAGAGTTGTCTTTAAAGCAGGGAAACGGAAGGGATTTCTACAAGCGAGAAGCGCGATAGAAGGAAAAAGTTTAAAACTTTGTTTTTTCATATATATTCAGTTCAAATGTAAATTATCCTACTTTTTTCTTCTAGACTTTTGCTTATTCATTTTTAATGCCTAGATACCAAAGAAAAAATGTTCATAAGAACTTTTACCATGAAAGAATTTATTTGAGGTTCTTTTTTTTCTTTACACACGTTTGAACACTGAAACTGAGCTGCCAGATCAGGATCAATAACGTTGCGGATTTTATCAAGAATCCCTAAATATATAACGAGCACCAAACGATGTGTGGCAGCAATATTCAAAGCATGGACAAATATTCGACATAAAAACCATTCAAAAGTACTTTCAACAACAAAGATCTGAACATAATAAAAATTATGGTCTATAATGCTTTTGTCATTTCATCTTTGCTGTTTAACGCCGATATAAAAATATGTCGCCGTCTTTGATTTAATGTTTGCTAGAAAAGCCAAAATCTTTCATTCGATAAATTATTACCAAGTCGAAAACACGAACGGATAACAAAAAATGACATCAAAGGTCGGCGATAAAGTGTTCTTTAGAACATAATGATGGCAAAGAAAATGGGAAGACGGCATAATTTTTTGTTCTTGGCAATCAGGAAGTTGATTTAAATGGTAAAGGAAAAGATTTTCCTTGGAAAAGACACCATAATCAGCTGAAAAACGTTCTTCGATGAAAGACCTGAAACATTGGAAGATCCGATTTTATGCTATATGATGTTTTCGATGTGCCAGTACCACAACAAGTCGTGAAATCTACAAGGACAAGTTCTAGAAAAATAAGGCGTACTGAAGAACTGGAAGTGGAACGGAGATGGAAACGCTACAAAGTCCGTTGGCGAAAGTATTAATCTGAAAAAGGGGATGTTGTGGATTAAATATTACACCCGCGATGACTATATGGACTAATTCATAACTATAAATAAAGAGCTTAATGTCAGAAGTAAGAAGCCGTTTGGAGTCAGACAGTTCCCTGCCAGGGTTGCGGCTGACTTGTCGAACTCTCTGGCTTCGAACAGAGAGGAACCCAGACGAGGCTATTTCTACGGGTAGAATCTCGTCTAGGGAGGGTATAACAAGTCCAAACCCGTGTATCATCCTAAGGGTTATTTTGGTCCTTCCAAAGGAACCGCCCCAAAAACCGATTTGTGCCATCCTGCCTTCTGGGAAGTTTTGGTAAATACCAGAAGCCCTCTGGAGTCTGAGTTTGCTGCCAGGCTCGTGACTGACTTGTCGAACTCTCTGCCTTAGGGAAGAGAGGAACCCAAATGGGCAGAGTCTCGTCTGGGGAGGTAGACAGACCCAACCCCGTGTATGCGCAGTCTAGATTGGCGGCAAGGTCTCATCAATTTACAGTAGCCTTGTGCCGCATCCTGTCTTTCGGAGTTAAGCAGTTCGCTGTCAGGATCGCGATAGGCTTGTCGAACTCACTGCCGTCGGCCAGGGAGGAATAGAGACGAGGTTATGCCTATGGGCAGAGTCTCGTCTGGGGAGGTAGACAGACCCAACCCCCGTGTATGCGCAGTCTAGATTGGCGGCAAGGTCTCATCAATTTACAGTTGAAATGGCTATTCCAATACGAAAAGAAAATCAGAAAAAAATATTAGAAGCATTGAAACGATAAAAAACCCCAGAAGTTTCACTGTTTTTTTTTTTTAATGAAAATTGCATAAACCAACAATTGCTGCTCAAATAGGCCCAATAATTAAATCGACTACAAGAATGCCAACTACTAGATTTGGCAATTAGGTCTCACCATTTTACAGTTAAACTTAGTAAATATAACTGCTACTTATACTCAAAAGTTTTTTTCTGCACTTCCCATCTGTGGAAATCCTTTTTCGATTTTTGCTTCCCTGATAACTATTGGTCTTCAGAAATTTAAATGCAACAGTCAATCACCATCTTATATCTTCTTGAACACTGTTCAATTTTGTCCTTTTTCAATCCCTCCCTATTCTCAGTCTTCTTCATTCTCCTTCACATTCATCCATGAATTTGAATATTATCTTTTTTTTATAAATATCTTTAAATGTATATCTCTGAGATTCTTGACAAAATTCAAAGAAGGGTCTCAAAATAATTGATCCTGACTAAACATCTCGACTTCAAAAACTTCTCACCAATTGACGTGGCTTTGATGTCTTTTTCTACAAATATTTTTATGACAATGCTGTTCTGATGAGCTTTGATCCTTTCCTTGCCTCGACTGCATGAATTTAAAATTGTTTAGAGGTTGGCAATTAATCTCACATTTTAAGGCTGAACTAGATGCAACAGTTACTTCTACTGTAACAGATCTTCTCGCACTTCCCACCTGTGGAATTCCATTCCAATTTCTTGCTTCCCTGATAACTACGATGTTCAGAAATTTAAATGCAACGTCAATTACCATCTTCTGACTTTTTGAAAGCTGTTCACTTTTGTCCTTTCCTCAATCCCCCCCCCACCCCGCAACCATTCTCTTTCACATTCACCCCCTGTAACCCCCTGCATTCTAGAGGCATTGTTGTCTTGTAAAAACGTTTTAAACAATATATATATCTTTTAAAAGTTATTTCACGTAAAAAAAAAAAAAAAAAAAAAAAAAAACGATTCTCATACGATAACCAAAGTTAAGCAACGCTGAACAAGACTAGTAACGCTTGGGAATAAAGTGTTGTTAAATTGGATGTGTTGTTGATGCAATGTTTAAAGGCTACAAAATAAAACAGTTATTTAAAAATGATTTTAAAAATAGCCTAATAAGGGAAATTGTTTTTTAGTTCCGTTCAAAGTAGACTCCTTGGAAATTGACAAGGTAGTCCATCCTCTTTACAATATTTTAGAAA